AATTTATAATTTATTAAAATTGGATAAGAGTCTATAAACTAAAATATAATTTATTTTTTTAAACACTAAAACCACACTAGAAACGGAAGCAAACTTTAAGAATTAAAATTATATTAAAAAAATAAGGCAACGTTATCAAGAAGATTCTTTTTTTTTTTAATTTAATAATGCATGAGAAGAGTGAATTTAATGTAATTAAAATTAGTTTCTTTTTTATAAAAATACAATTATAAATTAATCATGAAAAAGAAGATAATAAATACAAAAAGTTGTCGGTATGGTCAACGGAGGAACTTAAAATAATAATAATAATAAATAAATAAATAAAATGAAGAGAGGATTTCGATGGAAAATGGCCGGTGGCCGGAGCTCCGGTGAGAATGGACAGGCATGTGATTGGGTATGCGGTGGTGGGACCACCGTCTGCCACCGGCATGGGGTGGTGGGGCGCGGCCGCCGGTGGGCCACCCGACCCGACGACCGGCTTCCGATTTAATGAGATAAATTGTGCTATTCCTTTGTTTGGATTTGGACAGCCAAAGTTTTCTTTCACTGTCTTCGCAACTTTAAATTCATTGCATTTTCGTCCCCACTATCTTACTCTATTTGTTTTTTTCCCCTAAATAAATAAAAAAAATTACGAATTCGTTCGAAATTTCTCATAACATTCTCATATCACAACCTTCTTTCAATGAATAGTTGAATGTTTCTAAAATGAGAAACAAAAAAAAACATAAATAGTTATCAAATGTTTAGATTTCTTAATAAAATTTGAAACGATAAATAAGAAACAGAAACGTTACCAAACGACCTTTTAGTTTTCCTTTAATAAGTTTCTAATAAGCTTATACTATTAACTCCATTATTTTAATGTTTAAATGACATTTTAAAGTATTATATGACACATTCATTTCGATCCATCTTCAACCATTTAGAATTAGTAAAATTAATGGCACAGATTTATTAGATACATAAAAATTCAAAATTCAGAGGACTATTTAAAATCTTTTAAAAATATATAGGGACTAAATATATGGAAATTGAATGACCTATTAGCCATAATTTTCAACTTCTCCCTCAATTTTGGTCAATTTTACTTGGTTCTTTTTTTTTTTTTTGGGTAATTTTCAGTGTGTAGACAATCTAAATAGATGGCATATTTTCGTCCACACTTTTCTATTTGTTTGAAGGGTCACGTGTAGTTTTTTTTAATTATTATTATTTTTTATTTTTATGAATTGGGAGACATGGATTGAGACCTTATTCCAAATCCTTTGAATAATTCAATTTTATTCTCACTCTTCAACTTGGCATCAACCAATATATCAACTTCACCCTTTTTCTTTTTCATATTCATTAATTACTACCTTTTTCAAATCTATTTCTCCTATTTCCAAAGAAAAAAAAAATTCTATTTCTCCTCTTTTTTTTTCTTTTCCTCAATAATAATTTTAATTATGTAAAAAAAAATTAACAAACTCGAATTAAAATATCACTTCTCTAAGTCCATTATTCCAAGTTAACACCATCAATAGGACGTTGAGGGACAATTAACCACGTTATAATTATTTAAGAATGATATATGTCAATTATTGTTAAGTTATGCTCGCTTTAGTGTTTTTTTTTTTTTTGGTATTGATAACTTTACATATAGGAAGTGCTTTCATAATTTGTTGTTTTTAAAGATCATAATGGATTCTTCTGCTTTTTCTAGTAAGATTTTTTTTTTTTAATTGTAAGCATTTGTTTTTGGAAAATTTCCCCCTCTTATGATTAAATTATTATTTTCATCATCATGGTTTAAGCTTTGGTTTCAATTGGAAACCAACCTTTTTAAATGATATGCTTTCTTTCAAACGTGATTCGATGGTGTTCATTTTTAAATATGTAGTTAAATTCACTATATACGAATTTGAATAAAGAAAAAACAAATGTTTACAAAAACTCGCTCCCTTTTTCTCTTTTCATCACACTCAAAGATTACCGTATTATATAAGAAAACTATCGACACCGGTAACAATAAAGATATTTTGTAAAATTTGATTAAATTATAGAAATAAAAACGAAAAACTAACTTAAGAATTGCTTAATTAAGACAAATATAATCGACCAAAACATAAGAGATTCATATCATTACACCCAAAAATATTTAAAATAATACAGATTTATACTATTTTGGTACATGTTCTTTCACTTTGCGTTCATTTTAGTCCATGCTATTCTGGTCTCTATATTTTCATATTTTGTTAAATTTAATCCTAATACTTTAAAAAGTATTAATTTCGTTCCTCTTACTTAAAAAAAAAAACATTTTGGTCCTTTCATTTTCATTTTTATCTAATTTATTTCGACCAAAATTTTAACATATTCACTCACTATTTTTTTTTAAAAGTACATGGATCAAAACAAACGTTCTAAAGGTACAGGACCAAAATAAACAAAAATTGAACGTATATATATAAGAACCAAAATGAAGTGAAATAATATTTAATAATAAAATAGCATAAGAAGTTTGATTTTCTTGGTAAAATTTGGAGAGGGAAAACACTCCATAATTTGTGCCCATATCCAAGGCCCTACTGTCCCGGAATCCCAGAGATTGGACACCCTGTCCTAAATCTACCGCTTTCCATCCAAAACGCCGTTTCATCATCATCCCCGACTGTCACCTAATGATCTCCACGTGTCCTTCTCTTATTCGTCACTCGAATAAGCCTACAAACTTCACATTAAATGACAGCAACCCTTTTCTCCCAACAGCTTCTGCCACCTCCTTTATTACGACCCTGACAGATCTCATCTCCCCATCCCACCTGCAACGGCGGCGCGTGACTCCACTTCCCAAAAATATCAGAAAAATAAAAATTAGATTGTCTCCTCGTTGACTTCACTTGGAAAATATATCAAATTAAAAACACAAATCTTGTTGAAAAATTATTAAATGTAGCCGCCTCATGATAACCATTGGATAATGAGATTAATAAAAAGAGACTCATTTAATTGAATTCAAAAGAGTTTAAGGAGCAGAACCGACAATTCGATGTAATACAAATTATTAAGAGTACAATGGAATACAAATTATTAAGAGCATTCCGACGAGTACTTTTGTAATTTAAAATTTATAAATTCAATTGTATAAAATTATTAGCCACATTATGACAATCTACTCCAATAATTCCTCCAAATAAAGATAAAAGACAAGAAAGATTACACATTGAATTTAAATCAAAGGAGGGTAAGAATTCAAATACATAATTACCAAAACACCCTTTTTTTTAAAATCTAAACCGTCAGAAAACTTGAGAGGGTAGACTTGAGTCAATACCCGAACCACCACCACCACCACCACCCCCTACCGTATATATATAAATTCAAACAACACCCTTCTCTTTCTTTTCTTTCTCTTATCCGAGTTATCGACTCGGTGTAGTCACAACCCTTACACCAAAGGTGTCTAACACGCGCGGTTCGTTCTTGACTCAATACCCCCTACCCACCACCACAATAGACCACCATTACATCTCATTTTTTCTTTTTCCATATTACAACACTAAGCCACACTTTTTTTTCTTCTCACACACCGTTAAAAAGCCCTAATAATAATAATAATAATAATAAACGAATTACTCAGGGAGGGGTA